TACATCAAGAAGAATGTGTTATTATTGCCTTGGACACCAAAATCCAAATGCCTGGCTGGACCCCCAAAACACTGCATTTTGTCACCCTAGTCCCTCAGGCAGCCTAGCTTAGAAGGACCCGACTTGTTTCCCAACCACCCTCTGATGTCTGTCACTTCTCCAGACCTTGTTTGTCTTGAGTCTTTATAGTTATCAAGCTTTCGTGGCTCGTGGCTTTGGGAAAGCCTGTCTGTGTCTTAGAATTCAGAAGGGTAACCCAGGGTCTGCTGACATCCTTCCAATTCACTAAGCTTAAGCATTAAGGAATGCTTCATCTACGACGTCTCATTTCTCTTCCCTGTCTACTACCAAAGCCTTTCCCTACTTCCCCAGAAGTGATGAAACAGCTTCTTTTTATTGTATATACTTAGGGTGAACCGCATGCTGCTTTGACTTATGAAGTCAAATGAAGTCACACAGCCATCACGGGTTCTTAATAAGTCTTACCACAGACACGGTGAACATGATTGTACTCTCTAGTCTCAGAACTTGTTAATATACCATCTCTAGCAGAAATTCACATATTCAAAGACCCTCCCTCATATTCAGATTCAAAATTATATTCTTTCTAATGATCCCTCACTTCATAGAGACCTTCTGTAGGGAGAAAAAATGGGTAGCTACCACGTCTAGTAAGAGCCCCCACCTGCTTCATGTCTTAAAGGAAAGCCTTTGTTCACTTTGGGAGCTTGGCCTAAGGTTTAGTTTTCCTTTGCCTCTCTTCTCCAAAGAAAGAGTGAAAATTCTGCTGAATAGTGGTGGCTCACACCCTTAACCCCAGCACTGAGGAGGCAGAGGCAGGAGGATCTCTGAGTTCGAGGCCAGCCTGGTCTCCAAGAGCTAGTTCCAGGACAGGCTACAGAGAAACCCTGTCTGTCTAGAAAAACAAAAACAAAAACAAAAACCAAAAAAAGAAAAAGAAGGAAGGAAGGAAGGAAGGAAGGAAGGAAGGAAGGAAGGAAGGAAGGAAGGAAGGAAGGAAAGAAAGAAGGAAAGAAGGAAAGAAGGAAAGAAGGAAAGAAGGAAAGAAGGAAGAGTGAAAATTCTGTGTAACCTGCCCAGGCATCAAGAGATCAATTACCTACCTCCACGATTCAAGTAAGCCTCTCTTTCTTTATCTCCATTGCTAAGATGGGAATGTATAAAAAGAGTACATAGTGTATAATAAAAAGATTCTTTCAGGAGGTGGAAGGGAGGGGTACAGGTTCAATATTACCAAAGGACATTTTAGCCATTTAAAGTAGATGCCAGGCTACTCTAAATAAAGACAAATCTTATGTTTATTTGAAACTGTAATTTCTAGATGTTAATAGTTACATAGGTCAGTGTACAACTCCAGCCTTAGATTAGGACATGATTAGGGCACAGATTTAATTTAGTTTCCTAAAATGTGCTTCATGATGTTACCGAGTTCTTGTGTCTGGTAAGTTTCATGGTATGTTAAGTTTAGAAAATGAACCTAAATAATGTACAACAAACTTCCTAGAACAAGCCTAGGAACTTCAGAAGCTGCCCATGCTACTTAAATCACTGGCCCCAGAAAAGGGACCTCGGAAGCTACCCAAGCTACTCAAATTATTGGCTTTGGGCCAGAGATACAAAAGAAGCTTTCATGGTCTACAGTAGGCTCACCCTCGCTCACCAAGAGACTACACTGAGACATGGGGATAAAGTCCTTTCTCACGCTGAGGTGTTTGGCTGGTGGGTCTTGCTGGGTCTCCTTTGGAGGTCTCACAGTATGATCCTGTTGCTCTTTCCTTCTTCACACAATAAACATTAGGTGTGGGGGAAACAAAGGTGTGAAGATAACATTCTATTCTCTTCCAAAATATTACACTGTGCAGAAAAACAGAGGTGCGGACAGAAGACACAAAAAGACTCAGAGCCTCTGCTTTAACCAAGGTTTGTACAAAGGAAATGTGAGAAATGAGAGTGGGTTCTCAGGCTTGAAAATTGAGAAAGTCTTCAAAAGCTTCAAGTACCAGGGGGGTCCAGACAGAGAAGTGCTCCACACCAGTGGAAGTTCTCTCCAAGACACGGTCTTTAAATTGTGATGTTTGCAGAATATGTGTGTGTATATTTCTGTGTGTGCTCTAGTACATGAGTACATGTGTATATGTGCACATGGATGATATAAATGTCTTTCTCTATTGATCCTCATGTTACTTCTTTATTATTTTATATTTTTGAGATTATAAAGCACTTATATCCTTTCCCCCTTCCCTTTTCTCCCTCCAAAGTCTTCTCTACGACTCTGCTAACTCTCTTTCAAATTCATGGTCTGTCTTTTTCAGTAATTGTTGTTACATACATTTAAGTATATAGATATAGATTCCTAAATACATAAATATAACCTGTTCATAGTGTATAATATTACTTATATGTATATTTGTAGGTTTGGATATTTGGTATTGGATACCAATTGATGTGCTCTTCATTTTGAGACAAGGTCTCTCGTAAAATCTATGTCTTATTAAATGGCTAGACTTACTGCTCGTCAGGCTCCAAAGGTCCTATCTCCCTCTCCCCACCGCAGTGTTAATGGATTCCCATGCCCTGACTTGTACATGGGTGCTGGGCCATGTCCACAGCACAAAAGGCACATCTGTGGCACTAGGTGGGTATACTTTTCATTGTCACCATCAATTGGGAGCAGATTTGCTCAGAGCACCTGGTGGGCTTATTAATGTCATCTCTGGTAGAAACCAGAGTGTAGTGAAACATTCTATAATGCACAGACAAGCCCTCGGCACCCAAAATCGTTCCATCTCCTTAGCAAACCATGCCAATCAAGAAGCCCTCCCCAAGAAAGAACAGAAGCAGAGGGACATCTACAAGTTTCTAATGCTTTTTTTTTTTTTCTAAAGCTGGAAAGACCACCTTCCTCCCTCCACAGTGCCAGGGCATGAACTCTTGTATCAGCTGGAACAAATCACTGATCAGTGATTGCAACATTACAGGACTTTATTGCTTTCCGTTCTGGAGCCTTGAGTCAGAGATGAACATGCTGGCAGCGCTGCTTCCTACAAGAGCCTTGTCTCCTATAATTCCAGGTGATTGGAATGACAGTGTCTCCTATATCTGCTGGGGTTTGAAAACTTGGTCTCCAGTTAATGTCACTCTTTGGGAGTGTTATGGAAGCTGTAAGAGGAACAACTTTGCTGGACAAAGTGTACCTCGATGCATGCTGATGGGGATTATAACCTTGCCTTCCTTTTGTCTGCTCTCTCTGTTTCTTGTGTGCAGTTCATCTCGCAGCTTTCAGTCCTTGCAACTGCACCTTCCCTCATTATTATTGGTATCTAACCCTCTGGAGTCATAATTCTAAGTGACCTTTCTTCATTAAGCCCCTTTGGGTCCTAGTTTTTTTTTATCCCAGCACTAGAGAAGTAACTAATCCACCAGCTCTCCCTTGGTGCGTAAAAGTGCAACTCAAGTCTGTGTCTCCACCTCCCCTGCTGTGTCTCCACCTCCCCTGGCTCTTGACTGACCTCTTCCTCCAGATCTGTGGCTCTTCCTCCTCTGTCTCTTTTGAGATAATCTGATCTCTTAGAAAGCTCACCTGGTTACTCCAGGATGATCGCCGCTCGAAACCCCTAAGTTACACCTGCAAATATTTTTTCTATGTAACGTCATATTCACAGGCACTGATAGGTAGTATTTGAACACACTGTTTCTAGGACCACAGCTCAAAGCATAGCAGCTGAGGTATTTGCTTAGCGGAACATGCATCAGGAATGGAAAGGGGGCCCCTACACAGGTGATAATTACCCTTCAATTGTCCTTGATACTTCTAATTCTCACTTCACTGAGGCAACAGGATGAAATGTTGTGACCTTTCATGTGGGGACTAAAGTACATCTGTGCAGAGTATGTATCTATAAACCACTAGCAATGCAAGCAGAAGAAGCCAGGCATGGGAGAGTCAACAAAAACCTCACTTATTTGCGTGCCGCCTCTTGAGTTCAGTCTCTGCTGTCCACTCGGGGCAAGGACCCCACCTGGACTGTTGGTGCAAAGTCTCATTTTCCTGGGACTGAAGTAAAAGTTGAAAAATTCTCTAAGAAGCTCTGGAGGCCACAAAAGTTGGAGCTCAGTCTTCAAAATAAGGAACACTGGGCTTCTGTTTTTAAATTGGCCCCGTCACTTTAAATTATCCCTACTTCTTGTCTTGACACAACCTTGAAAGCCTGCTGCTCAGACATGGTTGTATCAAAGCCTTGATGGTGTGAGATGGGCATATTTTAAGTGACAGATCTGAGAAGGAAGGTTTCAGTCCTCTAAATGAACATATTATTTTAAAGATGGAACCAAATCCCTGTAACCCAATGTTTCTCAATTAATCCCCTGCGATAATTCTCCTCACGTCTAAAGATCTGATTGGCGGGGGGGGGGGGGGGGGGGGGGGGGGGGGTGTATTGCATCATGCAACTACACTGGAGAAAAAAAAACTGAAAAATGAAACAGAGAGGGCCTAGACTAGTGATGTCTTTGAAAGTGGCTACAAGGTCATGATGCTACCAAAGCAAGCATGGTTACTGAGGAAGGGAGATGAATGGCCAACTGGACAAGCAGCTTCCACCGACCATGCTAAAGATGGGCTTTCCCATATCACACAGACACTCTGCAGCCTGGGTGTTTGAAAGGGTAGAAGGCAGGTGGGAAGGCTTTCTGCCCTGAATGGCTTTCAACATAATAATACTTAATACTACATTTTGAAACCGTTTCCTCTTTCTCTCTCTTTTTTGCAGTATTTTCTTGGGACTGTAACCCATTTGTACATAAAATTGGTTGAAAGTGACATTTTGAAAAGTCCAGCAAACATTGCAGCAGCTCTGTTTTCAAGGAATATAAAATTGGGCTCTCTCTGACACCTTGAATGTGCTTGTGAAAATAGAACGTCACATCTCAGAGGGTTATTCTTGATAGGTTTTTATTAAAATAAAATAAAATAAACAGACCTCTCCAGGCAAAGAGCATTTTTATATGCTGGTTTCCATGGAAACACTGGCAATTGTACTTTTTCATGGCATGGTCTTTCTCATGTAGTTTAAAGTCTGGTTGATGAAGCTCAGTTGAGGATCCTAGGCACTGAGAAAATACTCTTCATCTTCATCAAGCACACACATGACAGACCCTGTAGGAGCCCCTCATACAAGCACAGGGGGGAAAAAGAAAGCATATAAGCATGCAGGTTACAGAGAAAAGTCTCCATTTTTTTCATGAGTTATAATGTTATGATTATTCTTTTTATATAATGCTCTTACAATTCCTTTGTTAGAAGGAGGAAAGGGAAGGGAGGAAACAATGTAATTATAATCTCAAGAATGGAGGAAATATTTTTTTTAAAAGAGATCGAGCATTCATTTTTAATTTGTCCACAAAAGAATTCCAGTAACACTTTCTGCTTTTGGGGAGGATGGAGTTTAGTCGCTCACCTTTTCACTATGACTTTCTTCTGAAAAACAACATGGCAAGATTCCAACCATAACCAATGGAGGAGGTCCCTGATAGACACCAGCATTGAAGGCTGCCAATGGTCTAACATAAGCCACCATCACCTCCTGTGTTTTTTGACACAGTGTGAGAGACGGGTTCTTCCTCCAAACTATCCAATCCAATCATGGAGTTGAAGTGGGGAGATAAACCCTAATTGATGGTCATACTAAAATAATATTTTGTTAATAATCTTCCAAAGCTGTCAGGATCATGAAAACAAAGAAAATCTAAGACAGTCAAAGGTCAAAGGAGGCATGACCATGAATAAGCACATTCTCTAGATTTTATATTGTAATATATAAAAGCTATGAAAAAACTAGTTCCCTGATAATAAAATCTGCAGTTTATTGATCAATCTCATACCAACATGAACCATTCAGTCTGGACCAAAGAACTGCATTTTCCTTTATAAAAGAAATGGAAAAATTGGTTAAGTTGTATATTAGTCTCCACTGAATGTATCCAAAACTCAAATATTTAGAAAAGGAAAACATGAAAGCAGTCTTAGATATGTTGCAGACAAGCAACCATATTTGGATGAGTATGCAATGTTCCTCAACCGCAGTTTCTAATGCCACAAAATGGTGACAAACATACTTCTCTCAAAGGGCTATTGACCTAATAATCTCTTTGGCGGCAGAATCATAATTCCTTTGATTATACTACATAATATTTTCTTCTTTATCTTTTTTTATAACTCATTGTCCTTAATGGCTCACATGATATAATGATGCCTGGCCATAGAAGTTCCTTCAATAATTTGTGATAATAATAAATGTACAATATGTTAAGGAAAAGTATCACTAGTATATCATCTGAGCTGAACAAACACACACAAAATATTGCAATCAGGTCTGTGGCAGAAACCACTTACTAAACTTTGAGCACCAAAGGACAGAGTCTAGAGAATGACCTAGAGAAGCTCATGGAACTTGGCCATAATATAAAAAATTTCTTAATTCAAGAATGTTCATAGGTTTCCTTTTGTCAACCTAAGAGGCAGTGAACAACTATTCTGATTTTAGTTGAGAAAGGATAAGTCACAGCTTGGCTTGATCAATGGCTTTGAAGGATGGGATTAAGAAAATGACCAAAAGAGAAATTGAACCAAAGTATAAGAAGGAATTATAAATCAGGTCATTCTAAAGAGTCAAAATGATAGCAGAGAGATTTGGGGTTCATGTGGGGAGAAAGAGTCCATGCCATAAGATGTCTTCAGGCCACAAGAGGAGTCAAAACTTCCAGAAAACTATTAGAGCCGCCAAAGAGATTATTAGGTCAATCACACAGGAAGTATTATAAACAGATACCTTAGAAAATAGTTACTGAAAACTAAGAGTTTCTACTTCCTTATGTTTCCCCTAAGTGTGAGGCTTGTAGACTACTGAGAAAGACAGGTGTTAACAGAGTTATTGTGCTCATGAATATACTGTACAAGTCAAAACAAATACCCTGTGAGAAAAGAATTGGGGCTGTGGTTAATCCACATTCTTTAAACCAGACATGCGGGACCAACTTCGCTGGGTTGCTGTATTTGAAATGAAAGGTGGAGGAGACACACTAGTGTCTATGAGGAATTCTGCAGTTTATCAAGGTGTGAGGATCCTAACATACTTTCTCTTTTTAAAAAGCAGACGAGGTGGTGTAAGGTCACTCTATATATAAAAACACACAGTTGGGATTTTTACTTCTTAAACCACCTTTCTGCCCACTTCAACTACGTAAGCTCCACCAGAATGTCCTTATTAATGACTGAATACCTTATTTTCTTCCCTCGAATTGGGAAATTCCAGGTTTAAACTGGTGAGAAACTTTATTTTCCAAAGATCAAGTGGTAGGTGCCAGCCCCACCATCACAGTGGCATTGAAATTCTGGTCACCATTCAATGATGTGACCCTGAAGACAAGTGAAACCGAGAAGTTCTCCAGCCCTGAAATAACTGGGCCCCACTTTCCCCAGGTTCTGAGATACCAGGTATTTTTCCGTGTAGAATTGGCCTGAAAATGCAAAGGAAAAGTTCACACAGGGACACAGTGTCTGCTTGGCCTGACCATGTAGGGCTGTTTGCCTTAACCATACATTTTTTATTGTCCAGTTAAGTTTTGAGTAATTCTGTTGATGTGACTTTCAGCCCTTCCCATGGGCTGTGACTCATTCCACCATCAAATTAACAGCTTTTTTGGAAAATGTGTTTTCATGACTTGGCCAAAAATTTCCATGGCTTAATTTCATCCCTTGTTTCCCACAGAAACTCTTTGAACAAGTCCCATGATTGTGCAAATGAGAAGAGTGTTCTTTCCAGCCATGGCAAATGCCTGACCAACCTATCACTTCCAACTCTCCTCGGCACCACTCTTTCGGGCCTTTACCTAGCCCTCCTGTCTACCATCATTTCTTCTCCAGCCCTCCTGTCTACCATCAGTTCCCTCTGCAGTGCTGTGCTTCACAGGATCCTGAAGGCTCTGATCCACTAAATTATTGAAAGTCTCCTAGAAAGGATAAAATATGCTCAGCAAGTGGGTTATGATGCCTAGAAATTTAACCAAAGTGATTCTCCCTTGCTTCCTTTGTCTAAAACGTGATAATTTTAGACTGAAGGCTTTCTGTTGTCTTCTTCCTACAAAGTTGAAGAGCCCAGTGCACAATGATGAATGTGAAACAAAGTAAGAGTTTGTCTATAAAGTTCATATGTGGAGTATATGTAAAGCAGTGCTAACTGAGTACACTGGGCTGTGAAATCTTGAGCACTAAATAAAAAAGATGTGTGCAGTGTACTAACCTTCTTCAACACCACATAACAAGTGATCCGGGAGAAAGAGACTAGCACCAAAATGCATTATTATACTTGAAAAGTATATCACCTGGGCTGGACTTCAAGCAACAGGCAAGTTTCAGATTTGTCCAGTTTGTCTCTCATTTTTATGGAGCATTATTTCCTCACAGTCATTGTTAGAACCAAGAGCCAAACCAATCTATACAAGTACAATTAAGCCTCTGCCTATAGTCCATTCTCTCACATTTTTAGCCAAACTATGTCACATGGATAAACTCAAAAAGGTTGATACATTTACCCTACCCCCAGGAGGAAAGCACTAAATATTTCTGAAGACTCATTCAAGCCATAACATGCAGCTTTCTTTCTTTGACTGCTGACCTGAAGATAAAACAAATCAATTTCTAGAATGTACATTGTAAAAGAAATTAGCTTTAGGAGAGAGCTGGGGATACACAGCTCAATGATTGAGCACTTGCCTAGATTGCACAAATGACTATATTCCATTTTAAATTGCAAATAATAATAATAAATAGAGGTAACTTAACTGCTTTAGCCTCTTCAGACTGTTAGTAATACAATTCTTTAGACTGAGTAATTGATAAGCAACAGGAATTTATATAGAAGTCCAGGAACAAGGGAGAACAGATTCAGTGCACAATGAACTCTTTCCCTCTGCTTCCACCATGGTGTATTCTTCCTGCCTCCTCAAAGGGCAGTGTGATAAAACAGCTCCTGTGAACACTTTAGCAAAAATGTTCTTCTCATTCTTAAGGAAGGAGTCTTGTGATTGAACTACTTTCTAAGGTCCCAATCTCTTAATGTATTGAATATTTAGGTTGTTACACATAAATGTGAGGGAACACCATCATTCATACCATAGCATTGCCTACATGACAGTTTTTATGACACCACCAGTAACTGAGCAACTATTCATAATTGCATAATAAAATGTGGATGAATGTTGACAATATACCAGGCATTATTTTGGATTCCTTTTCAGTCATTATTTTTTTTAAGTAAGCTATCTTTTGAATACCCTGCCCTGGTGTTTACATCATACAGAATGCCCTGGACAGAATTAATTCTAAAGATAGATGAATATGGAATGTAATCACTCATTAGTGGACTCTAGCCATAAACAAAGGACATCAAGCCTAGAGTTGACAAGCCTAGAGAAGCCAAATAAAAAGATCAACCCAAAGAAAAACATATATAGATCCTCTTGGAAATTAAAAACAAACAAGATGGCTGGGCAAAAGTTGGGAGCATGGGGGTGGGGAGAGAGAGGGGAAGAGAAAAGGGAAAAGGGAAAGACTGGAGAGTGCTTGGGGGAGTGGGAGGGTGGAGATGGAGGAAGGACAGATATAGGAGCAAGGAAGAAGATATTTACATTAAGGGAGACATTTAAGGGTTGGCAAGAGACTTGCCTCTAGAGTGGATCCCAGGTGTCCAAGGGGATGTCCCTAGCTAGGTCCTTGGGCAGCAGAGGAGAGGGTGCCTGAACTGGCCTTGCCCCACTATCACACTGATGATTATCTCGAATATCACCATAGAGTCTTCATCCGGCGACTGATGGAGATAGAGACAAAGTCCCTCATCAGAGCCCCCAAGGTCCAGTTGAAGAGCAGAAGGAGGGAGAAGTTGAGCAAGGAAGTCTGGACTGTGAGGGGTTGGTCCACCCACTGAGACAGTGTGCCTGTTCTAATGGGAGCTCACCAAATCTAGCTGGACCAGGACTGAATGAGCATGCGATCAAACCGGACTCTCTGAATGTGGCTGAAAATGGGGGCTGACTGAAAAGCCATTGATAAAGGTACTGGGACTTGTTTCTACTGCATGTACTGGCTTTTTGGGACCTATT